AAAACAATCTAACCGAAGCCCCTCGGTCCATGTCACAGACGGGCTAGGAAATGGCTCATTATTTGGGGCCATAAGGATGACTGAAGCTCAGGAAGCTCTAGCAGGGCAGCCTGTTTCCATCCTTTGCGATTGGTCCTGGCTCCTGTGATGGCATCTTTTTAAACTTTCAGAGGACAGAGACCCTAAAGCACAGGCACATAGAAATAATGAGAATGGCTTTGGCTTTGGGGTTCAAAATCTCCATATTCAGGTCAGCTCCGCAGGGCAAGGAGCAGAGAGAGAACAGCTCAGTGGTTCCACTTACGACAGTTCTCTAGCTGTTTTCTCCATAAAGCCTGCTGGGCCCCGCCCCAACCCATTATTTTCCCTGCCCTATGGACCCCTAGATCCCAGGGAGGTTGCACAAAGCACAGCAGCATTTCATTCACCCTTCAATTCTCACTCAGTTAAGCATCTGTATGCAAAAGAGCAAACTGTTTCCAAAAGAGCAAAGTGGCACTGAATGGAGTCCATGGTCACAGGCACAGAGCCAAGGCTAACGCAGCAACTGAGAGGAAGTGGTGATGGACAGTGGGTGCAAATCTGAGCCATGCAGTAAACCAGCTGAGCAGTGGGTGGAGTCCAATGTGTTATTCAGTCTGATCACATCATAGTAAATGACATCGGGAGCCCTGTTCCCGCAAAGTTGGATGCTACAGACTGGTTGTCTATGTCCCCAGAAACTCACATGGAGAAGCCTTAACTCCCAGTGGGATGGTATTAGAAGATGAGGCCTTTGGGAGGTAACTGGGTTCACATGAGCTCATGAGGGTTGAACCCCACGATGGGATTGGTGCCCTTATAAGAAAAAGAGACACCAGAGCTCTCTCTTTCCAACACAAAAGAAGGAGGCTGTCTGCCGACCAGAAAGAGAGCCATCATGGGGAACCAAACTTGCAGACACCTTGATCTTGGACAAGGAGCCTGAAGAACTGTGAGAAATAAATGTCTATTGTTTAATCCATTCAGTCTATGGTATTTTGTCATAGTCGCTCGAGCTGATTAAGACACTGGACACAAAAGACTGACCAAGGCACCCACCTCAATGATCTGTGCTTGGAACTGGAGTCAAGTGAAATCTAAACATGCGATTAATGAGAATCTTCATCTTAAACATGAATCCTAAATAAGCTCTAACCCTAAACTCTTCCTATCCAATTTCCCCTTATAATTATACTAATTTATCTAGGTTAATCTTCAGGTTATATAAAATTTTTTCATTCAGTGGTATAATAAGAGGACTACAAGACTTGAGAATAGATGACCCTCTGAAATTAAAATCAGTCAACCCAAAGTAAGTGGCCTATGAAAATGACCATTTCCATGAGATGGCCTGCTACTGTCACTTGAGACTAAACCAATCCCTAGGCCTCCCTTGGAATGCAGGGGAAGACCATAAGAAAGGCAAGAAAGGACAAAAAAATAGAGCTAAAAATAGCGGGAAAGAAGAGACAAAATTAATGTTGTTTGCAGATACCTTGGAATCCTAAAGAATCCACCAGAAACTGATCAGATAGTACGTCGTTCAGGAAGGTGAGCAGTTATAGAGTTAAGTATATAGACAAGAGTAGTTTTCCTAGATAACAGCAAAACTAACTAATAAATGCTTTGGGAAAAGACTCTAATTAGAAGGGCAATAAAACCATGAAATTCTTAGACATAGAACAAAAAGACCTATGTGAAGAAAATTATAAAACTTTACTGAAAGTCATAAAATGCTATAAAGACAATAATAGAAAGACATCGATTATTCCCCCACTGTGCAATTTATTTATAAATTTAGTGTAATTCTGCCTGTCCATGGTGTTAAGTTCTTTTCTGGGTGTCTTGGGTGTACTATTCTTGGGTGTCTGTGAGACCTGAGTGATTCCCCCTTTGGGGCTCGTGCGAGTGGGTTTCTGCTCATTGCAACCAAACGACTAACTCAGCCTAGGCTACCCTCTATCTCTTGCAGCCCATATATCTTGGAGTTCAAATCCTCTCATACATCCTCCAGCATCTCTCTCCAAATGTGCTTTTGCAGCTTTCTGCAAAAAAAAAAAAAAAAGTTTGTTTTGCCACAATACGAGCTTTGGCCCCAATTCAGCAACTCCTTGCCATTAACCGGCTCACTTCCCATGACCGTTAGTTAGTCCAGACTCACAAGAGTAGAATTCTGATGAGCTGAGCTCGCCCCTCGGGTCAGGTGTCTACCACTGACCCAACTGGCTGTAGCCAAGAGAAGCAAAGGCCCATGGGACCCTGGGCTGTCAGGAACAGTGTTGGTGACAGAAGCAATGACTGACTCTATCAATCACATAGGTCTACCACGACTAATGGCTTCCATTTATCAGACACCTACCCTGAGCCAGGCACTCGGGCATTTAATCTCATTTTAATTCCTAACATTTTCCCACCCACCTGGCCAAGTGGATTTTATCATCACCTTGATGGTAAGGAAACCGGCTGCTCAAGGTAGGTAACTCCTCTGCAGTCTCTTGGCCAACTGGCCTGTAAGTCAAAGATGAATCCAGTTACAAGTCTCAAGTGTTGGGGTCCTCCTCGCCCAAGCTGGGGTTACAGAGCCATGTCTTCCAAGCTGGGAGGTTCTACTAAATTGTGCCTCTGGGTCTGCAAGTCTGAGTGCCTCTGTCTCCTGGGCCTCGTCTAGTTACTTCTCCACCTACCAGCCACCACCCTTATTTACAAACCTGGTAACTCCCATTCTCTTTCTGGTCGGTCGCTGAGGGTGGCAGTTCCTCAGGAAGACCTGGGCGATTCTCCGGGCCCGGCTGAGCCTGGCTGAGCTGCCTTCGTCCCCTCTGTTCTGCTGCGGCACGAGCCCCTCCATTTTAGTGTCTGTTATCTGGGCCTCTTCCCGCCAGCCCGCCAGCACCTTGCTGAGGGATGGCCACGGCACCACGCACGTAGGCATAGCAGGAGTTTAACAAGTATGCGTGAGACAGCATTGAATTAGTGATGCCCCGACTTGACCAGGTGCACCCCGGGGACCGAAGGGCTCTCCTAAGCCTGGAGCCAAAGCCACTCCTCCTTCCTCAGGCTCTACGAGGCCATGGACTCAACACACCCAGTGCCCAGGCAGAGGAGGAGAGTTAAAGCCTTCCCCTCACCGTTAGCTGGAGTTCCACACCCTCCTGAATCCAACTGAGCAGTGAAAATGTACAGTCATCCCTGTGGCTCAGAGGAAGCCAGACGGACCCTTGGCCTGTGATTGGGACGAGGGAGGCGTATCGGAACCATCGAGGGGCCTCTCCAACCATCGCAGCCCTCACCCCACTCTCCTTCTGCACCAGTGGGCCACCATTGCTGAGTGCTGCCTGCCCCTTGGGAACACTGGAGAGAACTCTCTGGAATGTCCTGCTCTGCAGGGACAGTCCCCTCTAGGGGGAGCAACCTCACTATGAAACCAGATCTGCTTCCAGACGGGCCAGAGCGGGAGGAGACCCGGCCACCAGGGCCAGACACACCCAGTAAGGGAGGCCCTGCTTCCTTCCTGGGAAATAGTCAGAGGCTGAGGGGACAATGGGGTGCTGGGAACACAGGGCGTGGAGGGAATGCGTCTGAATTATGTAAGCATTTGTTTTGTTCCCAGCTTCCTCTCCCGGGGCACTTTAGGGAACTCCAAGGAAGCCTACGTCGCAGCCCTTCTAGTTCATGTGGCATTTGTACCCACCCCCATCTCAGGAAGCCCTCTATGGAGTGTCCCCTCTACCTGCTGTCCCCGTTCCAGTGGGGACCGCAGGCCTGGCTGGTCCCAAGTGCCGAAGCGATTCTATTTGGGGTTTCTCTAACCAGAGACCCATCCAAGGAACCCAGAGCTTCTGCCCCACCCCGCCCCACCCCCATCCAGTGGGAGAAATGTGCTTACAATAAACAATAAACACATTTTCAGATGGATTTTGGGGGGACAGTTAATCCTCTCGAGGGGCCCGTCTTTCTCCGTCTGTACCCTCGTGGCGGCAAACAGCTCTGCCAGGGGACCAGCCGCGCCTCCGCCCCATCACAGCTCATGCTGCTTGTGGCTTCCACCGTTTCCACCTGCACCCCCAGGCACACGTGTGAGCATGCCTGTGCATGCACACACACACGCACACACACACGCACGCACGCACACACACAGCACTGTCCCTCCTACTTCCACCGCTTTCCACGCTCCACCCGTGTCCTTGGTTAAGGAGCTGCCAAGGGAACAAACCGGGAGCCCAATACCGTGCTGAGGCCGAGACGCCGCTTCCACGCAGGTCCTCGCGTGGCAAACTTCAAACAACAACCAGACGCAGGGGGTGGGGGACCCGGCGCCGGGAGCCCCGAGGCAGGCCCGCCCCGCCCCGCTCCTGACCCCGCGCTCTCTGCCCGCTGGGCCATCCCCGGCTGCGTGGAGCCCTTTGAGGCGAGGCGTGGGGAGAACCTCCCCGTGAGGCCTGTAGGGGGAGGGCTGGGCGGGGGAGCCGGGGAGCTTCTCCGAACCGCAGGGTGTGGCGAGTAACCCTAAAGGGGGCCAATGGCGGCCTGAGGAGCTCGGGAGGTGGGGAGGCGGGAGAGCCGCGCACCCCTGAGCCCCGCAGGAGCAGAGCACCGCGGGTAAGTGGCAGTGGCCCCCCTCCTGCGGCATCCCATTTGGAGCCCTGGAACGCTCCTGCTGAGCCCACCTAGTGACGCGTGCCTCCTCCCCGGCTCAGTTTCCCCGATCAGTCCTAACTCCCCGGCAGAGCTTCTGACCCCCTGGCGCCCCTGCGCACAAGGCTCTCTTCCCATCACAAGGAGCAAAGGTACCGCGATCGCCAGCGGGCAGCCGGGACCCTCCAGAGGAGACCGGCGGCTGCGGCTGGGGCCCGGGTCCGAGGCGGAAAAGCTCCCACAGGTGTTTGGGCTCGGACCTTAAACGAAGGGTAGACACCTGGTTTGCAGCCCTTTACGCGCGGGGGCCGCAGGTCAGAACAAAGGCGGAGGCAGAGCCTGAGTCACGCATCTGAACTGCACTTTATTACAGTAACACCAAGGAAAGCAGTTGCGGGAGGAAGGCTACTGAAGATGAACAGAGAGAAAGCGGCCCTCGGCTGCATGGCCTACTCCCTACGAGGGCGTGAGTGGCGGGGTCTCTGTACATGCATGTGGGCTGCCGTGTGCGTGTGCGTGTGCGTGTGCAGGTGATTTCTCTCTAGGGTGTTTTCTTTAATTGCTTGACAGGTGATGGCTGAACTCGGTGTCTTCTGGCAGGCTAGGAACGGGCTCTCCCGCTAGGACTGCGACCCAGCCTTTTTCTTCTGGAATTTTCTGAACTGAGACTGAATGGCCACAGCCGCCCGTTCTGTCTCTGGCGCATCCATGTCGATGTCAAACTCTTCCTGAACCTTCTTCTGCCCATCTGTAGCAAGAAAAACACAGACGTAAGGCAACCACTGAGCCAAAAGCAAGCAGGAAGGCAGGACGGCAGCTCTGGAAGAGACAGTCCCCGAGCCACCACTCTGCACACCACCCCCAGCACGAGACCGAGTTTGCAAACTAAAGTCCAGGGGCGCGTGTCTGACCCTCACCCGAATCGGCCATCCTCGGGCTGCCTGAGCTCACGCCTGCAAGGGACGGTGAGACCCAAGGGCACAGCCCCAGCACCTCACACATTTTCTGCACATGGTTTTCTGTCTCTCATGTTCATGTTTTACGTACAATGTCAAGCATATCGGCTGTGCTGTTACTTCCTCCTGGTATTTCATTTAGATACGTTTAAACAGTGCTATAGAGAGTGACCTAGTGGTGGCTGATACTCACAACAGCTCCAAGTTAAAGCCACTGAGTCTCTGCGTAAACCCTACAGCCAATGACTCAGAATGATGGTGTCCGGGCAATAGAGAGGGCGCTGGACACTGGGATTACTGAGAAGGGAGGCGGGTTGTTTTCCCTGCTGGCTCTGCTCTCGTCTCTGTCCAGATAGATAGATAGATGGATAGATAGATGATGATAGATAGATAGATAGATAGATAGATAGATAGATAGATAGATAGATAGATAGATAGATAGATGATAGATAGATGATAGAGAGAGAGAGAGAGAGAGAGAGAGAGAGATGGATGATAGGTAGATTAGATAGATAGTAGATAGATAGACAATGATAGATGATGATGATAGATAGATAGATAGATAGATAGATAGATAGATAGATAGATAGATAGATAGATAGATAGATAGATGATAGATAGATAGATAGATGATAGATAGATGACAGATAGAAATTCTTATCTTTATTTTATGTGCCCTTATTTCAGAGGCAGCGGTTGTGGGCCTTCTCCCTGCAGATCCGGAGCAGCCTCCTCTTGCTTTTCCCAGAGCCTAAGAGGGCCCACCTGCAGCTCTGCAATCTCACCTCCCTCTGGAAGGAGAGGATGCTGCTTTGCCAGCCTTGCCGACTGATCTCCGTGACCTAAATCAGCACAACTGTTTTTCTCTACCCCAGATTTGCTACCAATGCCCATAAAAGCAGAGATTTTGAGTGCAATGGTGTCCTGAGACTATTTGGGAAACATCTATTTTAATCCATGAGTGCCCAGGTGATACGTGGGACCATCTCCTGCATCGGGGAGCCATTCACCCACATCTAAGCGGCCCTTTCTTTGGGGATCTCCAAAGGGCAGGACCATCGGGAGGGGTAGGCATTTCCTGAGGCTCAAGTCAATGCTCTCGGATGTTTCATGAACACCATCGAGGGAGCTGAGACGAGAGCGGGCGCCCAGCACACCTGAAACGGGAGTGACCGCAGCCCAGGTGCTCACAGCAACCCACCCTTCGGTACCAGTGACACCTGCGGAAGTAGCACCTTCACCCTAGGAGTCGTCACCTCCATGAGGTGAGCTCGAGTCCCCAGTCCTTTCCCTCCCAGAGGAACCCCTGTGTCTACTGTGTCATGATCAAAAAGGGGGCAAATTAGCTCTGATTCAAACAGAAACGGGAGATTCCTCTCTTATATTTGAAATGTTGCCGCAACCTGAAGTTTTTGAAGGGTCTGGTTCATCTTTTCCCTTTTATAATAAATAAAAAAAAAACCAGCAATATTATCTGTTGGCAAATGATAAATGAAGATGCAGAAAATTGTGTATATTTAGGGGCTCTATAACGAGACAGTGAGGACAGGCCATAAAAATAAATTTCACAATTATATCTTAAACTAATATCTTCAGCCAAAAGTGATTTATAGGTTCCTCCCTCACTGGACACACATGACAGTGCTTAAAACACAGGCCACTAATATTTCAGGAATCGTTGCTTTCCGCTCACTTCATAGCTGAGCGTTCCCTGGGAAGGTCTGCACTGTTCCTCCGAGCTGGCGGGGGACCTGTAAAGCAGAGGAGGGGGACCGGATGGTGGTGGAGAAGGGACAACAAATTAGATTCGGTGGCACAGGGGTCCTGGGAGCTGGAAAAGCACAGCTCTGAACACACAGACTCAGCAGGAGTGAAGGGATGACAAAAGATGTGACCTGGAGGGACCACAACCGGGTGCCAGCCCTCGGAACCACTCTGCAGAGCTCAGGCCCTGCACGAGTTTGAGTCACTGAGCCCGCGCCAAGGCTCCCCTTCTGTGACCTTGGCGATGATACCAGCAGCGGTGTGCAGGGTGGCCCTGTAGGGCCTCCCCTCCCCACCATCACTCCAGGACAGAGGTGGGGGACCCACCAACAGCACCAGGGACGCTATCTGCTGCTGAAACCAGAGAGGGGTCCTGGGCCAGGTCTGTTGGGAACAGGAAGGGCGACCCCCTCCTCTCACCCCACCTTCACAGGGCAATCGCTACCTTACACCACTTCTCGCCCCCCCCATCTGAGGCCCATCACCCCTCCACAGTGGGAGCTCCACGAGGGGGAGACATCACCTGCCTCGTCCAGCAGCTCACACAGGGCCCGGCACATACCAGGTGCTCAGCTAGTCGCGGAGGATTGCAAGTGGGCGCATTCGTGCGACAGGCGGGGTCCAGTGCCGGCCTCTATCTAGAGGACAAACCCAGCCAGGCCCCCCAGCGGCGGCCGTCTCAGCCCACGGTGGACGGGCTCCGCACCCCCACCCAGCACCAGGCCTCCCCGGGAGGAGGCTGGGGGACGCCCTGGCACGGCCTCCTTGGGGCCAGCTGGGGGGCACTGTCCACAGACGACATGGTGAAGATGACGGAGAGAGTGGCCACACTGGAAGGACGCGGGAGGCATTGAACGGGGGCGACCAGCAGGAAATGGTCAGGGCCTGGGGCCACCGTCACCTCCAGGTGGCTGTGCGGCCCCTGCCCTCACCTTTGTCCCGCGGCTTCAGGAGAGGTCAGCGTGGGCCCCACCTGACGTTTTATTTGGGACCCGCTGCCTGAAGCAGACGAAGCACATGGGAGCCGGTTCCCGGCGGTGGCTTTTTGTCAGTCTGAGCAAACGCAGTGTTTCACCGGGACGCTCTGTGAACGGCCGGGTGCCACGCACGCAGCCGTTACTGTCTCTGCCTGGGGTCCTGGAATGTCGTCATTGGTGTCCCTCCCTCCCTCTGTGACGAAGTTTCGAAGCTGACCAGAATAGCGGTCAGGAGAGCCTTCGTACCGATTAGACGGTGAAATAGAAACAGCAGCGGCTGCCAGCTGCCCCGGAGAAAGACACCTGGCCTCCCACCGCGTGGCTCAGGCCTGACAAGGACCCGTCACTGCAAGGTCCTGCGTGCCCATGCCCACGGGCAGGATCTGCCACAGCCTTTCAGAGTTCACCCAAACTCTGCCAGGTCCCTGGAATACCTCTTCTCAAAGATAAGGGGCAGGCTGAGGAACTGAGGGTGACAATCTATCAGGCGGGGCAGCTGACACCATCCACCCGTCCATGACCACTCTCTCCGTGTCCCCAACTATCTTCTCTCCCCAAAACAGAGCACAGCTGCAAAGCGGTCCCACGCAATTAGACTTCTCACCCTGGGCAGAAACTTCATCCAACAACCAACATGGGGCTCTGCCAGTGGCCCCCGGCTTAATGAAGAAATGATGTCCCCGAGGCTCAGGAAGCCTCCTGATTTGGTTCTGCCATGCCCTCCCCTCCAGGAAGGAAGGCCGTACTTCTCAGATTTACTGTAGATATTTCTTAGGCTCTTTTCCTGAAATATTGTCTTTTCCTTGCAGAAATGGAGACAGGAAGGAGCTCTGCTCTTTTGCATTGTATTACGTCCCAAGAGAAGTGTTCAGGTAGCCCTTCCTAAAGATGTCATCGTAAGCACAGCCACCCTTCCTTGAGCATTAAATCGCTCCCCCCTCACAGACTTCAGTGGGTTTTCTTTTACAGATCATTGGATGGCGAGTGTAAAATAGAGGAACATAAATATAAAAAGAAGAAACTACTGCAGCTGCAGACAATCTTAAATGAACATTACGAGCCTCTGACACTGTCATGAAATCACATCAAAAGGGAATAAGGTTTGCCATGCTCGACTCCTGTCTGAGAGCATCTAGTCTGATAAAAAGAGTCTGGGCTGGAGCGGTGGGTGCCAGATCAGTCCCACACCCGTCAGCCTGTTCTCACCCAGCAGCTGTGTTTGTCTGCAGGGCTGCGGGGGCTTCAACAGCAGATGCTCTCTCACAGTCCGGAGGCTGGAAGTCCAAGATCAACACATGCACAGGTTTGGTTTCCCCTGAGGCCTCTCTCCTTGGCTTGCAGACCGCCGTCTTCTTGTTTTGCCCTTTCATGGTCTGGTGTCTTTCCATCTTCTTATAAGGACACCGGTCAGATTGGATTAGGACTCACCCTAAGGACCTCATTTTAACTGAATCACCTCTTTAAAGGCCCATCTCCAAATACAGCCACATTCTGAGGAACTCTGAGTCAGGGCTTCAGCCTATGAATTTGGGGCACACATAACAGCTCCTAACCTACAGATTTTGGGGGCTCTACAGATTTTAATGCCATTTGTATTCTTTGCCTTATCTGGCTTCTGCAACCATTTATGACAACATCCATTGTCCCCTTTTTAGAAGGGCGCAGAGACAACAATGTAGGTCACCCCAGATCCCCTGGTAAGTGCGGGCGGAGGGCTGGTTCAGGATCCAGGTCTTATTCCAAATCTGGTTACTTTCAGCTCCTTAGACATGGGCCAAGATGAGAGCCTTCGATATGGGCCAGTTAATGTTGCTCAGGGGAAAAATAATCTCTTAAGTGGCCCAAGTCTAAACACATGATATGGTCAATTGTTTGCAAAACCTGCTTGTTCACCAGGTATTCCAGGAGAATTGATATCAAATTCTGTCATTTAGTAAATGGCCCAGAATGCCTATTAAGGGCCCATTACTAAGCTAGAGGCTAGAAGAGAGCAGAGAGCAAACCCAAGCCGCCACTATCCTGGGGAAAATGGAAAACAGAAAGGAACATGC